ATTTGCTCTCGTAACGAAGAAATCTGATGCGCTGCCGGCCGGGCTTAACTCCCGGCTACCGAAATGGAGCCAGAGACGCGTTCCCTCTTCTTTTCCATCTTAATAACTACTCCATTAGATGAATTTAGGTTAGAAATGATTAATATTTTTTTTTACGGTAATTAATTGTGGGAACAATTTGTAGCGCTCTCATGGGCAATGTTTAAATCCAGAGTGCGTTTTGCAAGGAAAAAAAGGATTTGTATTGAAGCAGGGATGCGGGCGTGCGGGGATGTGGGGGACGAGCTTACCCCTCCACCCTTAAATTTAATATTTAATATTATTAAAGCTGGAGATGCTTTTCTGCCCACGGAGCTGGGCTACTGTGGCTTTTTGCATGCGAAAACATCTCCCGGGCTCGTCGCAGACACTATTGCGGTTGCAAAACTCGGAGGGCTTGTGTCGCCGTCCCCAACTGACCTTTAAGAAAAAAAAAAAATAATTAATAGCGCTTCTCTGACGCCGCTTCCCCTCACAGCAAGTTTTCTCCCACGCCGATAATCCCCCAAAATCTCGGCTGATCCCCACGGTGCCGGTGTAACCCCCTCTTTGGCTACACCCACCCCCCCCCCGGTAAATGCCGGCACTGTGGCACATGCCGTGGCTTTAGGAGCAGGTTTTACCCGGCCCTTGGTGGGTGCGTAAGTTTTTCCTGGGCTGGGAGCCAGAAGCGTACAGACGTGTTATCCCGGGCAATGGCCGGATCCAGTTATCTTCACTCCGGCGAGCGTGCACAAGTGTGCAAACAAGCGTGCAAGATGCTGCAAGGCTGCACACCCCCTCCCCCTGCCATCACCCCCTGCCTCCATCCCAGGATGGGACCTCTTGCAATCAGCCCCCGGGATGCTCTTTAAAGCCTCGTGGCTAATTTTTATGGGCTCTTTTTAAATGTGGATTTTCCTGAAATTCCCTCCTGGAATACTTTTTTTTTTTTTTTAAAAAATAATATATATTTTAAAGGGATTATTCATTTCCTTGTTCCATGAGGCAGGCAGCATCCTGAAATCCTTCTGCACTCGGGGGAGGGGGGGTGTGGGGTGTTAAAAGAAAGAGAGTTGTAAAGCCAAATGCAGCCTGCTGCGGTTTTGGGGGGGCTGCTGTCACCCCACGGGTCGATATCTCTTCTGAGCGTCCCAGCTTCCGCATTCGAGTGACGAAGGAAGCAGTAAGGGGCAAAAACCAAATGAATTTATTAAAATCTCAAGCGCTGCACTCATCTTCCTATAAGGTATAGGAGGTAGTAGGGGAAAAAAACAGGAGTGTTGGATATCTCCAGGCTGTAAATAAGTTTACTGCACAAAAGCAAGAAGGGGAAGTATGTTGGGTGGCTTTTTTTTTTTCCCCCTAAAACCCAAATAAAGCTGCTGTTTTCTGCGAACAGTTTAAAAAAAAAACAAAAAAAAAAACACACCAACAAGCCCTGCACGTGGTTTTGCAGGAGTTTCCCATGCAAGGCTGCCCTTAAAAAATCAACTTTTTTATTTATTTATTTTTTTCTCTAACTCGCCATCTTAAGCCTCTCCTTTAATGGCGAGGTTAAAGCCGAAAGGCTCCCGGATCGGGCTGGGCAGCGTGTTTGGAACTGGGAAGCCCGAAGGGAGCGGGAGGAGCTGACTCACAGTGACCCGGCCCGGGGAGAGCCTCCAAAAATGCCGGCAGCCTTCCTACCAACTCTGTCCCTTTACCTCTTCCAGCTGCTGGAGTTTAATAGAAATATATTTTTCTTTTTTTTTTTTTGCTAAAGGTTAAAAATTTAAGGAGTGTTTGTTTTGTTTTTTTGGTTGGTTTGTTTTTTTTTTTTTTGCTAGAGGATAGAATTGCAAAAGTAATTTTATTATTTAATTCTTCGTGGGGTAGTGGCTGGTGTTGGAACGAAGAGGTGTTGCTACCTGCTGCCTTCCCGGAGCAAAGTTCATGCCGGTGTGATGCATCCTCATCCCTGTGGCACGGCGCTGCCGTGACTCACCTGCCTGCTCGCTGTACGTGGAGGATCGCTCATCGCCTTTCCGGGGTGGGCGAGCTGGCCTTTAGCGATGCAAAGTAAAAATTGTTACCTTTTCAAAAAGCAAGGGATGAACCCCAAAAAGCAAAGAAAAATCACCCAAAACCCCATAAACACCCCAAAAGAAAGAAAACCAAATTCCTCAAAACTACACAAAGAGCAAAAACACCTTAGTTTTTTAACAACATTTATTCAAGCACAGGTTGCTTTCAGCATTCCCGGTGTTGCCTGTTGCAGTTTTGCGGAGCAGCGGGCGGATGGATAAGGTCGAAGTTGGGATGTTGGATTTTTTGGGAGGCTTTTTCCTTGTTTTTCTGGGATGCCAGCAACTTTCCAGCCTGTTTTTGCCCCCTCAAACGGGGCATTTTCTTTTCGGAGTGAGTTTATTCAGAAGCACTGAACAAAACCAAATGCCAGAACCTCCCTGATTAGTTGTGTTGGGGCCAAGCTTAATTAATGAGCTTCATTAACAGGGCTGGCTTTATTCCCTGTTGCTTTTTCCCTGCAAACTTTAATGCAGGGGAGGCCGCTTGACCGGAGAGGCAAGGTCAGCGAGCAGCACTTATTTATGTTTATTTATATTATTTATTAAAAAAGGTAAGAAAATGCTTCTTAAATAAGAAAACATCTATTTTTTGTGTGTGTGCTTTGCAATTAGCCCTCTTTATTTAGGGATTGTATTTAGGTGGGGTCTGACCGGCACCAATCCCTTGGGATGCCAGGGGAGCATCCCTGGGCTGGGGTGATGTACCGGTACCTGGGATAACCGGGAAGAGCCCAGCCCCCCAAACTAAGGGGCTTATAAATTTCACGTGGATTGTCCCAAAGCTGATTAACCGGGAATGTCGGATCCTGGTTCTCGGAGCTGAGCGCTGGGAAAATCTCCTGCCTGGGATAATTGGGCCGTTAACGAAGGTGGCCGAAGCGCTGGCCTGCCCTGACCCTGCTCCCAAACAAGGCTCTGATTGTCGCTCTGGCTTAAGCAGGAGGAAGAGGAGGCGGGCGGAGGGTTTGCCAAATAGCCGGGATTTTGCTTAGCGACTGTTAATTAGGCTTCGATGCAAAAACTTCATTAGCGGTGGCTGTCCGGGGCATCCTTGCACCGATGCCGGGACGATGCTCGGCCGGCTGGCGGCGTCACCGTGGCGTCCCCAAAAGCATCTCGCGCTGGCATTTTTTTTGGTTGGTTTGTTTTTTTTTTTTTTGCTAGAGGATAGAATTGCAAAAGTAATTTTATTATTTAATTCTTCGTGGGGTAGTGGCTGGTGTTGGAACGAAGAGGTGTTGCTACCTGCTGCCTTCCCGGAGCAAAGTTCATGCCGGTGTGATCCATCCTCATCCCTGTGGCACGGCGCTGCCGTGACTCACCTGCCTGCTCGCTGTACGTGGAGGATCGCTCATCGCCTTTCCGGGGTGGGCGAGCTGGCCTTTAGCGATGCAAAGTAAAAATTGTTACCTTTTCAAAAAGCAAGGGATGAACCCCAAAAAGCAAAGAAAAATCACCCAAAACCCCATAAACACCCCAAAAGAAAGAAAACCAAATTCCTCAAAACTACACAAAGAGCAAAAACACCTTAGTTTTTTAACAACATTTATTCAAGCACAGGTTGCTTTCAGCATTCCCGGTGTTGCCTGTTGCAGTTTTGCGGAGCAGCGGGCGGATGGATAAGGTCGAAGTTGGGATTTTGGATTTTTTGGGAGGCTTTTTCCTTGTTTTTCTGGGATGCCAGCAACTTTCCAGCCTGTTTTTGCCCCCTCAAACGGGGCATTTTCTTTTCGGAGTGAGTTTATTCAGAAGCACTGAACAAAACCAAATGCCAGAACCTCCCTGATTAGTTGTGTTGGGGCCAAGCTTAATTAATGAGCTTCATTAACAGGGCTGGCTTTATTCCCTGTTGCTTTTTCCCTGCAAACTTTAATGCAGGGGAGGCCGCTTGACCGGAGAGGCAAGGTCAGCGAGCAGCACTTATTTATGTTTATTTATATTATTTATTAAAAAAGGTAAGAAAATGCTTCTTAAATAAGAAAACATCTATTTTTTGTGTGTGTGCTTTGCAATTAGCCCTCTTTATTTAGGGATTGTATTTAGGTGGGGTCTGACCGGCACCAATCCCTTGGGATGCCAGGGGAGCATCCCTGGGCTGGGGTGATGTACCGGTACCTGGGATAACCGGGAAGAGCCCAGCCCCCCAAACTAAGGGGCTTATAAATTTCACGTGGATTGTCCCAAAGCTGATTAACCGGGAATGTCGGATCCTGGTTCTCGGAGCTGAGCGCTGGGAAAATCTCCTGCCTGGGATAATTGGGCCGTTAACGAAGGTGGCCGAAGCGCTGGCCTGCCCTGACCCTGCTCCCAAACAAGGCTCTGATTGTCGCTCTGGCTTAAGCAGGAGGAAGAGGAGGCGGGCGGAGGGTTTGCCAAATAGCCGGGATTTTGCTTAGCGACTGTTAATTAGGCTTCGATGCAAAAACTTCATTAGCGGTGGCTGTCCGGGGCATCCTTGCACCGATGCCGGGACGATGCTCGGCCGGCTGGCGGCGTCACCGTGGCGTCCCCAAAAGCATCTCGCGCTGGCATGCTGCCCAGGTGTCACGTGGAGCCCTCAGAGGGGACCCTGCAAACCCAGATAAAACCTCCCGCCCCACTCTGGAGGCAAAAAATTCCTGGAATCCCCAAACAGTGGTTTTTTTTTTTTTTTTTTAAGACCAAACCAGTATTTTTTCAATTATTTTTTTGCCCTTAGCCCACGTGGATGCCACTAAAAAAAGCAAGTTTTCTCTTTTATAATGGATATTTGTGTTAACAACCTTACAAGCGTCCCTCCTCCTCTTGGAGCTCCCGGGGAGAACCCCCCCCGGCATAGCTGGCACCCCAAGTTTGACCCCTCTTTTTTTTTTTTTTTTTTTCCCCTTTTCCTTTTCCTGCAGATGACGGCCCCCCCGCGCCCTTTTCCTGCAGATGACGGCTCGCCTGATGCTCGCCGTGGGAGGAGCGGTGCTGGGTTCCTTGCAATTCGGCTACAACACCGGTGTCATCAACGCTCCGCAAAAGGTAAGCGTGTGCCGAGCAACCTGGCTGTAGCAAAATTCCACCCCCCCTCCGTGCCTGAAAACAAACCTGCATCCGCTGCCAGCCCGGCTAAAATAGTACATCCCGCTAGGCAGCTTACTGCCTGTAATGGGATTTGCGAGGGAGTTATTTAGCTCCCGCCTTCCCAGGAGAATTAGTTTCCTCCTTGCTTAACGTTTTTGCCGGGAAAAATCCCAGGAACGCGTGCAGGATGCTCTCCGGGTGGGACCGGCGTAACTTTTAACCTTGGCTCTTAGCGAAGGTCTGGGAGCTAATCGGGGTTTGAGTTGTCTCGAAGGGGGGAAATGACCATGGGAGGTGTTTGCTGCTTCCCCTAGTATAGCGCCAGGACCCTCCAGCGACTGGTCGGTATGTGGGAGCCTTGAAAAACTTGACTTTCCTCAAATTACATGGGTTTTGGACGTGTTAAAGGCTTGGAAGGGTTAGCTCAGAAATCCCATGTGGTGCTCGCGGTGTGCCCTGGGTAAAGCTCAGCTGCCAGGGCGAGGTGTCGAAGGACAAACCGGGGTCTGGCGGCTGCTGTGCGAGAGCAGAGCCTGTCCCTGAGCATCATCGCAGCCTCTAGTGCATCATCCCAAAAATTAAAACCATGAAGGCAGGACTTGCACCGTGAGATTATTAATCCCATTCCCAGCAAATGGGCTGCAAAATCTCATCTCGAGCACTGAAAAACTCCCTGTGGGAGAGAAGACAGTGTACAAAAACTTCCCAGACCCCCATCAGCGTGGAAAGGGCAAACCAGATGCGCATTGCCTTTATTTGGGGTATTGCATTAAGTTGTATTTAATCGCCGTGAGTGGCCTGAGCAGGATTTCATGCAGCTGGAGGCTGCGACTCGGTGCTTGTGCCCACGGCCATGGGGCACGCATCCCTCTGCCAAAAGCATCGCCCTGCTGAAAAATTCTGACCTGTGCACGCCTTCCCCTGGACTGACCTGTGCTGGTAACGTTCACGTTTGGCCAGCCGTGAGCATCGTCCTCTGCAGACGGGCGATGGGAGCAATGTTTGGAATGGCGTGGAGATAGGAAATCCCTGGAAACGTGCTGAGGAGCTGCTTTCTGGCATCTGCCCTCATTTTTCCCCAAGCTCCAGCACTGCGGGGAGTGCGCGCTCTGTAATTGCCGCCTTGTGTTGGGGCCCGGCCCTGCATCCCGAGGATGCGTGTCGTTTCCTGGTGGCTGAAGGACTTTTCTCCTTCCTTCCCTGACCCAGGAGATGCTGCATCTGGGTGATGTGGGCAGCGACCACGGCTGAGCTGGGGTCTTCCCTTGAGACTGAGCTCTGGTCCCTACAGACCCCCCGATGGGTGTTGCCTCAGATTCCCTCGTGTGTTTTAGGATTAAACCCTTGGGGCTTGGGCCAGGCGTGGGCTGTGTATTTTAGGGGCAAGTCACCCAGTGAGTGATGCTATGTTTGGGGTGCAGAGCTGATGGGTGAAAGGATTTGGGGTGCTCTGTATGGGGGGGCACGAGGGGAGGCAGGATGGGTGTTGTCCTGGGTAGCAGGATGCTCTGGGCATGGGGGTTCATCTCCCTTAAAGGTGGGGACACACTGGGGCATGGGACTGAGGTGCAGGATTGGGATGGGGATGCACTGGGGTGCAGAATTGATGGGGGTGCATTGGGGTGTGGGGTGCATTGGGATTGGGATGGATCAGTGCACAGGTTGGGATGGGGATGCAGGATTGGGATAAATTGGGGTGAAGGGTTGGGATGCATTTGGGCTAGGACACAGGATTAGGATGCGTCAGGGTGCAGGCAGGGCACAAGATTGGGATGGGGATGCATTGGAGTGCAGGTTTGGGACACATTGGGATTGGGATGCATCAGCACGCAGGGTTGGGCTGGCGATGCATGGGGGTGCAGCATGGAGATGCATCAGGATAAACTGGGGCACAGTATTGGGCTGAACTGAGGTGCAGGATTGGGGCTGGGATGCATCATCCCCCTGGCTCCAGCAGCGCTGCACCTCAGCGTTTGCTGGCAGCAGCGCCTCGCAGCCGGCGGCCTTGCAGAAAGGCTCCTTTCTCACGCGGAGGGCTGAGCACCGTTTTTGTGGTCCTCTTAATATAGTCCTCCCCGCTGCTGAAACAGCGGCTTGGTGTTTGCAGACGTGATGTGTGGAGGGGACGGCCCGAAACTGGGCGAGGGCTGGTAGAAAACACTCAGCTGAAATGAAATGAGGGCGAGGGGGGGGAGGGAACCCCAGCTTTTGAGAAATGCAATTAATTTTTTTTTTCATGTTTCTCACTTTAAACTCATAATTTTTCATCTCCTCTTCTCCCAACAACCAGCTCGTGGTGGGTTTTGCCATCCATCCTTTTTTTTGCAGGAGGAAAGGGGCCAAGAGGGGGGTATTCGGGTGTTTATTTTTTGATAAGCCAAAGCACAGCCTAGCATAGCTCAGCTGGCACCCACTGTCACTTGGATTAATTTTAATTTAAATTTTTTTTTTTTTTTTGTGCTTCAAGGGGAGTAAGCTGGTGGCTTTTGGGACAGTAGGGAGGAATTTAGAGCACCCCAAGGTTTGGCGGGGTGTGTGCAGAGACCTGCTTGTCCCCACCGAGAACGTGAGCCAGTCCTGGGATTGCCAAGTAATAATATCAATTATTTCTTTTGGTGATGTTAGGAAAAGTCGGGAGGAAAACCCCAAAGCATCAAAACCGCCAGGTGAAGTAGGAGGCAAATGAAATCACCTAAATATTGAAATTCTAATGGTTTAGGGGCTCTGTAAGAGGCACAACTTCAAAAAAAATTTACAATATTGAAATTTATAGTGAAGCACGGCGTGTATTTCTTGCGTTGCCCCTGGCAGGGGCTCTTGTTTGTGCTTGAAACAATGGGAAAACTAGAAGATGAAGTGCAATTGTGCAAATACTTAATTGGGAGCTGAGCACGTGCAAAAGCCTTCGAAGCAGTGAGGTCTTTGAGCCTTTTGATGTCCAGCAGCAGGTCCATTGAAATCTCTGCTCCTTCCAGCCAGAGATCGGCTGGTTGAGCGTATTATGGAACCCTTTGCTTTTTTGGTTTGGGTATGGGTGACCCTTAAATAACTTCCTTGAAGCTTTCAGCAGTCGACTGGCTTTAAAAATACATTTAAAAAAAAAAAAATTTAAAAAGGGTGTTCTGGAAAGACTGTAGCTAAAACCAAGTGCCTGTCTTGTACATTGGCATTTGAGAAGCATTGCAGTGTTGCAGAATTATGGCAGACGTATTGCGTTATGGAAGTATTGCAGAAAAAAACCTAGAAATTAAGCTCGAGGGAGTGTCCGGGGGATGGGAATTGATCTCTGCCACCTCCAGCTGCTCAGATAACCCTGCTGTCTTCCTCGCCTTCCTCCAGCATCTCTGCCATCTTCTCCCCCCTGTGCTGCTTCTCCTCCGGGGATGGAGGCATCCCTCCCCACCTCCCGTGCCCCGGGGAAGAGTGTGACCTCCCCGTGCCCGCCCGGCGAGGCGAAAGAGGTATTTTGGCAACGCCAAGCCTCTCTCGGCAGGGCGAGACCAGAACCCGTCCGGCTGCATTTCCCCGGCGCATCCCATCAGGTTTCCTCCCTTGGGTTGGAGCCGAGCCACCGGCCCGGTGGCTGGGCGGCTCCCGGCTCTGTGATGCATCGTCTTGTGAGCTGCGCTCGCCGGCCAAGGGTCTGTAGGTGGCTGGGCTGAGGCCGGGCAATTTGTAACACCGGTGGCACAGATGAAATGGAGATGGTTTTAACCCATGGCTTTGTTTCTTCCCCCCACTCTTCCACAGGTGATCGAGGACTTCTACAACCGTACCTGGCTATACCGATATGAGGAACCCATCAGCCCTGCCACCCTCACCACGCTCTGGTCCCTCTCTGTCGCCATCTTCTCTGTCGGAGGCATGATTGGATCCTTTTCCGTGGGGCTCTTTGTCAATCGCTTCGGACGGTGAGCACCGAGTGTGGTGGACCCTGATGGGGAGGTTGTACAGCCTCACCCCACCCCAGCATCCCAAGGACACCTCCCTCCTGCCAAGAGCTGGTGTTTGGGTTCTCCTGATGCCCCTTCAAGCCTCTCCGACCCCCGTGGTCCTCATCACCCTCCTCCCTTCCCTCCCCAGGCGCAACTCCATGCTGATGTCCAATGTTCTTGCCTTCGTATCTGCTGTCCTCATGGGCTTTTCAAAGATGGCTTTTTCCTTCGAGATGCTCATCCTCGGCCGTTTCATTATTGGCCTCTACTCCGGTCTCACCACTGGTTTTGTGCCCATGTACGTGGGCGAGGTGTCACCCACTGCACTGCGGGGCGCGTTGGGGACTTTCCACCAGCTTGGCATCGTCTTGGGCATCCTCATTGCACAGGTGAGTGCCGGAGAACTGGCTGTAGGGTTCCCCCATCTTTGATGCTGATGTTCATCAGGGTCTGCAGGGGATGGGGCTTAGTGCAGCGGCACGAAGTGTTGCTTGTGCTGTGGGTCTGCATGGTCCTTCGGGATGGACCTGAGCTCAGCAGGAGCACGAATGCTGGGAGATCTTAAGGGTTGGCATGGACAGCATCATGATATGATGCCTGTTGGCCACCTGGAAGCAGCATAGCTGTCTGTGCCCCTCTGGTGGGTGTCCATGGGGGTGCACCCATGGACAGCAGAGTTGGGCCCAACCTGAGCTGGGAAAGGGTGGCTCAACCCCTCTTGTCCTCAGGTGTTTGGTTTGGACTTGATCATGGGAAACGACTCGCTCTGGCCGCTGCTCCTGGGGTTCATCTTCGTCCCTGCCCTGCTACAGTGCATCATCCTGCCCTTTGCCCCCGAGAGCCCCCGCTTCCTCCTCATCAACCGCAACGAGGAGAACAAAGCCAAGAGCGGTGAGTGACCACCATCCCCGAGCTCGTCCCACCACTTGGGAGGGTCCTCAGCTGCTCCTGACTCCACCTCTTCCCCTTAGTCCTCAAGAAGCTGCGGGGCACGACGGACGTCAGCAGTGACCTCCAGGAGATGAAGGAGGAGAGCCGGCAAATGATGAGGGAGAAGAAGGTCACCATAATGGAGCTCTTCCGTTCCCCCATGTATCGCCAGCCCATCCTCATCGCGATTGTCCTGCAGCTGTCCCAGCAGCTCTCGGGGATCAATGCAGTGAGTTTTGGGGGTGCCGCGGGCTCAGCTTGTTTCACCCAGAACTTGGGTTGTGCTGGTTCCAGGTCAGCATCACCTGGTGGGTTGATGCCAGACCTGACATCCGTGCCCTTTGTAGGTCTTCTACTACTCCACCAGCATCTTTGAGAAGTCTGGCGTGGAGCAGCCCGTCTACGCCACCATTGGCTCCGGTGTGGTGAATACAGCTTTCACAGTCGTTTCGGTGAGTTTTGGCCCACCAAGCTCTCACCAGGGAATGTGGTGGGAAGGGGGCTTTCCCTCAGGCCAGGGACGTGCTGATGGACATGTGTCTCCATCCGACAGCTCTTCGTGGTGGAACGAGCCGGACGCAGGACCCTCCACCTCATCGGCCTGGCGGGGATGGCAGGATGTGCGGTGCTCATGACCATTGCCCTGACGCTGTTGGTGAGTGATGGGTCTTGAGGGGATGGGTGGGCTGGGAGGAGGTCCTGGTGCACTGCCCCTCGCTGTGGTGGCTTTGAGGTGGGGGGGGCGGTCTGGTTGGAGAGGAGGAAGGACCTCATCTCCTAGAGGTGATGGCTGAGCGGTCCCTGTTGCCCACATCTCTCCTGAGGTCCCAGAAATTCAGTCTCTGATCTGGAGAAACCTCATGGCTCCTCTGCCAGCACCACGCTGCCTTGAGTCTCACCATCTGGGATGGCCGGATGCTTCATCCCCCTTCAGAAACCAATCTTCTCTCTCTCTCCCTTGGACTAGGACCAAATGCCCTGGATGTCCTACCTCAGCATCGTGGCCATCTTCGGTTTCGTGGCCTTCTTTGAGATCGGCCCAGGCCCCATCCCTTGGTTTATCGTGGCAGAACTGTTCAGCCAAGGCCCTCGTCCCGCTGCCTTTGCTGTTGCCGGACTGTCCAACTGGACCTCGAACTTCATTGTGGGCATGGGCTTCCAGTACATTGCGGTAATCCTCTCCTGATGCTCTTGGTGGGAACAGGGTTGGGGCTGCCAGCCTGGCACCAGTTGGGTTGTGTGACTTCTCTTGAGCCCTACAAGCTGGGCTGAGATGGTTTGGTTGGGTGAACTTCCCTGGGGAGAGGGCTGGATCCCGGGATCTGTGGAGGGAGCAGGGGGCTGGTGATCCTTATGGGTTCCTCCAACTTGAGAAACTCTATGAAAGGGAAGGAGAAACCAGGACGTGGACCATCCCGGTGGGTCTGGGTGGCCACTAGATGGTCCATCAGCTGTGGTCCGTCACTCTCCTCCTGAGCACTATCTCCATCCCCGTGCTCACATCTTCCTCCTCTTTCCTCCCGCCCAGCAACTCTGTGGCTCCTACGTCTTCATCATCTTCACAGTGCTGCTCGTCCTCTTCTTCATCTTCACCTACTTCAAGGTGCCGGAGACGAAGGGTCGGACCTTCGACGAGATCGCTTCGGGTTTCCGGCAGGGGGGAGCGAGCCAGAGCGACAAAACCCCGGATGAGTTTCACAGTTTGGGCGCCGACTCCCAGGTCTAACCCTGCCTGTGGCCCCGCCCGGCCGCCCACCTTCTCTCCTGAGTTTGGGTTTTAATTTTTTAAAATGCTTCGTACAGGAACCAGGAAGGAGGGAGCCGGGGGGGAGGGTGGCCCTTGCGCAGACCCCCCCCTCTTCCAGCCTCCCCCTCTGGAAGTCAACAGATATTGTAGAATATAATCAGTTGTGGTTTTGGTTTTTTTTTGGGGTGGTTTTTTTTTTGTTTTTTTGTTTGTTTTTTTTTTTTAGCTGGTTTCGCGTCCAGGATTTCAAAGCCAATAGATGTTTTACAAACCAACCACCCAGCCTCCGCCAGCGGGAGGGCGGCTCCCATTTTTTTAACGACGCGATAGGTTATTTAACGAGAAATCACGTAGTGAAAGTTTTTAAAGCTGGAAACTTAACGGTTTTTTTAATGTTCTAATTGTAGGGGGGGAAAAAAAAAAATCACGTAAACTGACTAAATCTCAACCAACGATTTCTTTTTCTTTTTTTTTTTTTTTTTTTAAAAAAAAGAAGACAAAACGAGTTGTTTTTTAAAGCAGTCTAATTGATTTCATGCCCCCGGTGGGTTCGCAGAGGGGCATTTCCCGGCGCTGAGGCCGGTCGCTGTCCTGCAGCAGTGCGCGGAGCGGCCGCTCTTCTTCCTCTGCCTGAATTTCACCCGGGAGGGGAAAACGGGGAGGAGGGGTGTGTTTGTGTCTCTCTTATTTTTTTGGGGGTTAATCTCGGCAATATTTGCCACACACTACAGCAAACGCCCCCCCCTCATCGCTACCGCCTCCAGTCCCGGCCTCACCAAAATCCCTCCTCACGCGGACGCATCCGTTTCCCGCTCTGTGTATAGACTGGAAGATATTTATATTATATATATTTTTGTTCAATGGTTGTTAATAGTAGACGTTTAAGTTATAGCGTTTCTGATTTGACAAGCGAAGTACTGTAAATATTCTCGGAGTATATTCACGTTGTATAATGTATACAAAAAGGTACAGACGCAAAGGAATAGTTTCTATAGCGACTAAAACCGCTTGTACATGGGTAGGATGACTTTTGTATAGCTCAGTACCTGCACTGTAGTTGTATCTATTGCACTGAATTCCAGGCTGTAGTATATTAAAAAACAAAAAAAGAGATATACTGTCCTTCTCAAAAAAAAACAAAAAAAAAACCACCAACCCCCCCCCACAGAAAGCATCCCTTCCCCCATGTGCAGCTGCTGGGGGAGCTACTGGCACATTCCCCAAGCCAGAAGCAGGGTTTGTTGTGTTTTTTTTTTTAAATACAGTATTTCTTTTTATTTTAACTTATTTCTCTGTTTTGGAAGTGATTACACTTGACCACACTTGAAAGAAAACAAAGCTTGGAGGGGGGGGGAATAAATAAAAATATAAACCTACCCTGTGATCAACTCGTCGCGCCTCTGCGCAGCACAGCACCTGTGTGGGCTTTATTTTTTTTTTTAAAGAAATACATAAAAATAAGTGCCAAGAGGAAGGTGTGTGGTGTGCTAACAATAAAGGAGAATGTGTGCAGCGACCCCGCCCGCCGCCTCCCGTGCCTTCATTTCGCCTCCGGGAGGGGTGGGGAGCTGGGGGTGTCGTGGCCCCCCCATCCTTCCTCCCCTCCTCGACCTCCTCTTCCTCCTCCTGTCACTTGGGCCGGTGCTGACCCGGCTCCCTCGTAGCTCCTGGTGTGGCATTGTGGGCAATCCCACTGGAGCCGGGATGGCAAATTGCCGCCCCTGCCCCATCTCCCCTGCTTTGGCACCGCTTTCAAACTCTGTTTTTGGGGACGTGGCTCCTGGCACCTTTCCTAAACTTGGGGTTTGCCGGGACTGGAGCAGCCCTGCCCCTCTGGAGCTCCTCGCTCCCCACCGGAGCAGGATGCAGCCCAACGGGCTGGTGAGCGCAGGTCCCTGCAACGCTGTTCCTCCACGAGACCCACACGCCCTCCCTGGCTGTATGATGGGGTTTTAATTGCCCCCTGCACCTTACCCACGGGGGTCCCTGACGGTAGCACTGATCATTCAGGATGGAGCTCTTGCCCGTTGCTGTGAGCACCCGTTGCTGCTTCTCAGCGAATTTTTTTCATTCCCCTTTAACAGATGAAGCGCCAAGAGCTGCAAGTCTGAACACTTTCGGGCGAAGAAACGCTGATCTTGGTCACTTCAGGCCTTTTTTTTTCTATTTATTGAAATGTCTCTTTGCCCTGAAGTGCACACTCTGGAAATGGCTGTTGCAGCATGTCGGAGGAAATCGCTCTTGTAAAATCTTTCAAAGCTCCCAAAAATGTCCTTTATTTGCCCAGGGCTCATTGCATCACCCGTGCTACTATTGCCGCTCCTGGCCCTCACCCGTCACCGCTCCTGGAGATGCTCAGCTCCACACAAAGTTAATTTTCACACTGTCTTTTAAGGTGTTAAACCATCCCGGAGCGGTGACAGGGGGCCGCTGGCCCGGCACATCGGGCAGGCTCAGCCTGGCTGCAGAGCGTCCCCAGGGATTACCGCCACCATCCAGCCCACAGCTCCAAATCCCCGGCCACGGTGACCCAAATCCTCCGTGGCCCGAGGCACTGTGCCAGCAGGCGCAGTGTGTGTCATCCCCCCACACTGCTCCCCCCGCCCCGGTGTCCCCCCTCTTCCCACAGAGGTGGTCGTTCCGGCCATGGAGAGACCCACTGAGGGCGGACGTGTCCACACCAGCGTCTCCCCTGGGAGTGCTGGGAAGTCTCCCACCCGTCTGCCGTGGGGCCCCTCGTGCACCCCAACCGCCCCCTGTAACGAAAGCTGCGCTGAAGCGGAGCCTTTCCCTCTACCAGCAGCATCAATCCCTTCTAATTGCTCAGGTCCCAGCTTGACGAAGCATTTAGAAAGCGTACTTGACTCCATCCCAATTCAGCGAGGCAATTAAATGCACTCATAAATCCTCCTGAAGTAAATGAGACTTAATCGTAGGCTTAAAGCTCAGCTGAATTCAGACCTGAGCAGCAGGGCGAGTTTCCCTTAACCTCTTTCCCAGCTGTGCGAGGCTGTCACATGCTTCGGCCTCTGAACTGAGCTCAGCACACAGACCACGTCCTGTCTCGTTCTCCCGGGGTCTCCTCAAGCCCTTCTCCGACTTCCACACTGAGGGTCACGCAGACCCTCTGCCCTGCCCGTCTTCTCGCTGCTCTCCAGGGCAGAAGCCCGGGAGCGCTGCAGGCTGGGCATGTGCTCAGCGGAGATCTGTGGGCAGAAGCACCCAGTGACATGAGGGACTTCCTCCTCTTGAGGTTGGCGTCAGAGTTAACGGGATGCCTGCGCGCTGGTGAGCTCGCAGCCATGAGGAAACCATGTCTCCTTTGGGCTGTAAGCTCTGCTGGGAGCCAGCTGGCCTTTTAATCCTTTCCCTCACGACTGCTTCTGGTCCCTCATGCCATTCTCAGGGTCCCTCCTGGATGCAAGTTCTTCCACGAGTGGAACAAGCAAGTCCCTTGGTGCCCAGAGCTGCGAGATTCCTCTAAAACGCTGCAAAAAGAGAGAATGGAGATTTGGAGATGGGCGGATCAAGCCCAACCAGGTCCTGGGGAGCAGATGACAACCACCCAGGCTGGGTACGCAGCGAGGACCTTCCCCGCGTCCCTCCCTGCTATCTCCCTCCTCAAACTGAAAGGCAAATTTGAGGAAACCGGTAACAAACACACCTTAGCTGGTCTCAGCTTCTGGACAGACACCGTGAGGACGTAAGAGGCTGTTTGCTTATTCATAAATCATTAGATAATGATTTATGAACTGTGTGTTGGTTGTGGGTGTTTCCCCTCTCCCCCTGCCCGCCGCTGTTACTCCGTAAGGTCGAGCAGCACGAGAACATGAATTGACACCAAAATGTTTAATTTTGAATCACCTTGAGACAGAAAGGGACACATCTGGAATGACAGCAGCGGCAGAAAGGACCCTACGCCTCATAACGCCTTTTGTTTCCAGCAGCCCGGTGACACAGATAACCCAGCCAAACACCTGCCTCTGGTAGAAAGAGTTCTTTATTTCGTGCAGGACAGCTTGGCGTTAATCAACTTTAACAAATGACCGATGGTTTCTACAGACTCCTGTTGGGGCAGCTGTTTCACCAGGTCCAAGGCTCTCACCGCCGCCTCACGAGCCTGGAACCAAAGGGAAAAGACAAAGGAATTGTCAGGAATTTGCCTTTTCTCAAGGGGCGGTTGAAATACCTGCAGGGGCTCATTGGAACAGCGGCGGCGGAGCAGATCCCGGCTCCAGCCACGCAGCCGCCTGCCGCCGAGGGTGACCTGCACAAGCTGCTTTACAGGAGAGAGTAAAGCTGCCAACAGGTATCATATTTAGGATACAGTGGTGCAGACAAGAGATTACCAACCCCAGCCCCCCGCGCTGCAGATCGTTACCTCCCGTCTAACACAGCAGCTCCTCTGAGCATTCCCAAAGCTATTTCAGGGAAAAAAACCCAGTTGTACCGACTCGATCTGAACTAAATCCCTCATTTCCCTCGGTAGCTCTGCCAGGGATTAGACATTCCCACAATTAGAAAGCTTTGCCTTTTTTTCTAATTTGAATTTGTTTCTTTGTGTCTTCCAAACACTGACTCACATCATTACTGCTTTCTCTGATACAACGAAGGGACCATCACTAATCTGTATTTTCACCCTCCAACACACAGGCAGAAGAAATTTGGGCATTTGAGCGCTGAGCCGGAACAAAGAGGCCTGATTTCCAGATGGTCACTACTCAGCGCTTCCTCAAAATCAATGGGTTTTAAGGCAGAGAACTGGGCCCTCTGAAATCAGCATGTGAAATTTTTAGTCATAGATACATAAAAATACAGAGGTGCAAATTCAAAACCAAATTACAGGGTCCAAACGAGTGAACCTACACGAGCGTCACGGTAATTACAAGGAGTCTGGCTCAAGGAGAGACATGTGCGAGGCCCGTGCCTTGCTCGCTGCGTAACATCCCACCTGATGTCTACGTGCAGCCTGCGACGGCAGCTGCTCTGCCAGGATATCCCAGATGAAGGAGGAACCCAGAAAATGTGGGTAACTACGGCATCCACTGCAGATGGCCCGGCAGAGACCGAGCTGGCTTCAAGCAGAGCTCCTGAGGCAGCTTTGTCCTCGGTCACCCAAGGTGACAAGACTGTTGTGGGCTCAGGAGAGGTGCCGGGCGAACACAGGCTTCATGGGTCAGGGTGAGCACTGAAACAGGGTTAGGGATCACTCCTGGACCCTTGCACCAGATGAAACTTACCTTTGGTAAATCCGAGATCAGGTAATAAAGCATGGCAAGCGCGTGCAGAACCCTGGCAGTTTCCCCGAGTTGTTGCTTTGGTGCCTGTTCCCTGATGTCCAATACTGCGTTCAGCACTCGGACTGCTTCTGCTTGCTGGGCTTCAGCTGCATCGAGAATGAAATGATCTTGTTGGATGTATGCAGGCAAGATAATATATTCAAAACTGTCCAATTATCTCTTCTAGACATCAAAGCATTTCTACGACAAGCATCAATGCGGTATCCCAGCTCCATGCAAATTCCACACCCATTAACAGATATCTTTTCATCCCATCGGTAATTGGGTTGATTAGCCTTTAGTAAGGATGTGGAGTCATAACAGCTGCATGAAAAGAGCAACTTTCCTACTCCCGTCATAAGCAATGATGGTATCGTGTATCCCTGTCCTGGTGTGGTTCCTTCTGGATGGAGACAATGCCAGGGGGTTTACAGAAACAATACACCCCGGACAATATTCTTACAAGCATGGATGGTAGAAAGAAGAGAAGGACGAGAGTTTAGTCTGACTTGAGTGGAGCGCAGGGTAGTGCCACGCACACTAGCGTACATCCTGCTGCTTTATGTCCCAGCGAGGGATTCCCCACCTTCTCTCCCGAGAGCACTCTCCACATTAATACATCCCATTATCGGCACGTGCTATTCCATCGTGTCCTACTGCTTCACAAGATAGAGTTGTAAACCTGCCTAAGTGAGATGAAACGACACTTTCACATAATTAAATGGAGACAAAGGAGCTGTGGAGAAATGAGAATGTTGAAGTGGAATTGAATCCTGAAAGGCAAAATCTTGTATTGTTCCAGTCACCGCCACGGGCGCTGTGAAAAGGAGCCCATAAACAAAAGGGCAAAGCTGTGTTTCCACTTGAACACCCTCGTTCCTAAAGCGGCCTCGTTTGTTTCATCGAGCACAATCCACTGAGCGCCAATGTCAGAAATACCCACGATTCCGATTCAATTTGGTCTACAGAACTGCCACGCAAAACCCAACGCTGTAAATATGAACGACAGGATAGAGGGATTCCTTAAAATCCCGTCTTCCAAACGGTTCTGCGCAATAGCGGCGCTTACTCATACGGTCTTCGCTGACTTCCTTGTCCCCGGCGAATGGAGACATTTCCGGTCGTGACTTGAGAATTTGCTCCTGCGTTTGAACTGACTTCACAAGAAAGGCACGCCAGATGTCGGTTACCTATCAGGAAGCAAATGAATTATTTCGCTTGTATGAATAGATGGTATTTAGCAACGAGTTGTTCTATAAACAATGCGTCCCGCGATGCCCGGCCCTGCCACAAGAACCGGAGCACCGGCTGGTTAGTGAGCTGGCTGCTGCCAAGCTGGATGTTTCGCGGAGAGATCTGACCGCTCTTGTCCCAGTGGCAGCCTTAGTTGGAAGCTCCTTTCTCCATCTCACCATGAATTTTCATCAAACTTGAACAAATCTAACTAAATTCTCCACCAAAAGCAAATGTGGTTGAAGTCTGCGAGGGGAACGGAGGTGGATTGCACAGCGGCCAAAGCCTTTCCACAGAAAACCAAGCTAAACAAATGAAAGCTTATTCTTTGTTCAGTTATTAGAGCGAGTAGCTTAATTGTCACTTCTCTCCTTTGAGCATTCTGTCCTGACAACCTTTTATCAGTGTGACTTTTCATTGATTCTCAGTGGAAATTTTACATGGCTCGTTTGTATCCCATCGCTGCTCAGCGACCCTTCCCCAGCCACGGGAACTCCTTGGCCACCCTCTCTACTTGCAGGACTCTCTCTAACCTCCGGCGTGGGGTATTTTGGTAGCCCAGCTATTTTTTAACAAGGTTTGGCTGCCCAAATTGAAGACAAGTTGAATAACAATTTGTAACCAAGTTCAAGATTTATCCCTCCTGGTTTAAACGCAGAGAAATATTAAAGTATAAAAAGGGTTTCTGATATTGACCCTAAAGGCACCGCTGGCACTTGATATGGTCACCATCATATTAAAGGCAGTCACAAACAGGAAAAATATTGGAAAGAGCACAGAAAAAAACTGAGAAATATATAGAGGATGACCTTTGGTTTTACCAACCTTGGCATAGAGTGAGTTTGCTACATCCATTTTGTTCTGGCGAAAGAAAACATTGGCCATGTGGAAATACCCTCCAGAGGCCTCAACAGATTTGACTCCAAATGTAGAACTAGCAAGGTAAATCTGAAATCCATATTAAAAAAGACAAAAAGCTGTAGTTTAACGTTCATATCAAACCTGGGAAATTTTTCACTATGGATTAATATATTGCAAGCATTCCTCCTTTTTTTTTTTTTCTGTGAAACTATTGCATTAGTTATACCTGATTAAGATGGTAAAATGTAGTACTAAAAAAGCTGTATTTTGAGTTTTATGTGAGGGAATGCAACGCCCCCAAATCCCCCTCTCGTTGGGGCACAGGAATCTTATCACAACGTGTTACCCCGCTGAAGCAGGTCTCCCGCGTCTCCTCCCCTCGCTGTGCAACCCGTACGCCTCATGTCTCCAAACGCCCGACCCGCTGCCGCTTTTCAGCTCCCCCAGCCCTGCCCGCGGCGCCCGTTTCTCCCCCCGCAGCCCCAGCCAAAGCCGGGGGAGCGGGAAGGCAGCGGTGCATTCCAGCTATTCTGAGCTGGCGTGTGACTCTCAGCAGATCTCAGACACGCAGCCAAAGTTCAGGCAGGTCCTGGGCTGCTCTGACGTAGCCCAGCGACTCGCTAATAGCAAAAAAAAAAAAAAAAAAGCCCTATTACCTGACGCCCTTTCAGGCAGCAGATTTAGGGTACCGAAAAAAACCAAGGGCACAGCGGGGAATCTCCCCAGAGGTTTCCAGACTAAGCAAAGACAGGGTTGTATATACTATAATAGAAAGGATCTAATTCTCCTCAGCCGTATGTCATCATTTACGCCCACACAAAGCCACTATCAAATTCAACAGTAGTGGGTATGCATCACTCTGCACTGGATAAATTTAGGCGACATGGGACATAAATAGGATGTCGCGAAGTTCATCTGCCTTTGGAGGATCAAATGACAGGCAAAGCATCCTCAGGAGCACAGGTGGTAATAACCACTTCGCATTTGACAAACTGCTCCCGTGGCTAAAAAGATCGAATTGGGGAAAACGCTATTGAACCAGACATTTAAATAGTTAAATAAAGCAATCTTTAAATAACGGCTGACAGAGAATCGCTGCCTAACAAGAAAGTATTGAGGAAAATGACAGCCAAAATATAAAGTAACTTATCTGTTGACTATACCCGTTTGGGGTAGGAATGTCTGTTCATCTCAGTACTGTAACAAAGCCGACAGATAAATTTTTAAGCAGATGCAGTGAGGACAAGGTGTGTGTCACTTCAGGATAACTGATAAAAAACAACTTTGGCCAACACATGGGCACACAGGATCTAGAGAGTTTGGGTGTTTGTAACGCGTACCCTCTCGGTACCTGAAGTCAGGAATACCAATCTGCCCTCTGGGGTTTTCATACCCATCTGGAAGCGTTAGAGAAGGAAGAAAAATTGAAGGGTTTCTGTATTTGAGTGGGCTTACATCATTCGCCAGGTGATATAAAGCCTGTTCAAAGTTTCCTTCAGTGGCATAGAAAAGGCCCAGGCTACGGTGTAATTTATACTGAACAGCAGCACTGCAGCCTGGAGTTCCCAGGACAATCCACTGAGCTTGGGAGAGATATTTAGATGCCTCCAGAAGATTGCCAACACCTGAAATGACACGTAGAAATAAGCAGGCTAAAGAGCAGGTTTTTTATTTAGAAATTTAGAGAATACTGCCTGCTATCCCTGCGCAGTAGTTTGATACGGAGACCTAGTTTGTGGCTTCCCCACGTCTCTCCCGAGTGCTCCTTAGTCAAGCAGGTGTTCAGAATCTAATTTACAGACCAGCTGAGTGTCTAGAGCTACAAGAGAAGGCAGAAACTGTGTACTGCATTCAATGCCTCTGAAACACGTGTTCAAAACGGGTTAGCTACAGGCAGCCACTAATGACTCCTGTATTATCACACTAGAATTACTCATGGGATTTTTTTTTTTCCCCTTCTCTCGCCACGCCATTTACGACAATCCTTGAGATAGCTCAATTCTGCCAGCAGAGCATTGTGTGTACTCCTGTAATGGCAGTGATTTACAGCAATTTCTCAGTCCTTTACGTCTGCAGCTGGGGAGAGCAGCTCTCCACATGCAGAGTCCTAATTTGACTCTTTTTTTATAAAGCATACAGTCAATGAGAGAAAGCTCCGCTTCAGGCAGAGCGCGCTTTTGTGAATGAACTGAGGCATTCCTCTGATGCAATGGCCTCAGAAATGTTTGCTGGGTCCCTGAGATAAGAGCGCAACCAACCACCCTCGGGAACGTAAAGCTTTTGAGAGTCATACGGAGCCACAGAAGTAAAGAAAAGATTTTCATACTGCTTCTCTTGTGGGAATCAGTAGAGATGGAGAAAACATTTCATTTGCTTCCATTGATCTCTCATCACCAATGAGTGATTCTTTTCCCCAGACCCACACAGAAAAGGGTGTGTGTGTGTGTGTGTGTGGGTTTGACTTCTCAAATCTCTGCGAAATGCCCTTGAGGCAGGGCAGGGTAGGGTAGAGACACGGCACAATGTTGAAACGCAGAGCTGGTCCTTCCCTGGTGGTAAAAGGAAACCAGAAACCTGACCCAAGGGAGGTCTTGCCCTTGCCAGCGTTACTATTTAGACAATACTTACCAGCGGAGGCCTCAGCCAAGAGGAGATAAGCAGGCACCAATTGCACAGAATTTGAGCCGTACACTTCAGTACCGAAACGCAGCGCGTGCAAAGCTGCAGGTATTGCTTCTTTATGCTTGCCATCCCAAACAAACTGCTGTGCTGTCCTGTACGCGAGATCGATGATGTATTTCTGCAGGGAAATGTAGTAATGGGACAGAATGAGCAAAGGATAAGGACAAGTAATACGCAGGGTCTCTTTTTACATTCAAGTTTGCAAACGGTAAACCAGTGATTGTAATGTTGTCTGTGCCTGTAATTAATGGATGGAAATTAAAGCTGTTATATTAGAGCCTGGCTTTCATTCCTACTTCTAGCGGGAACAGCTTTGGACATCCTCTTGGGTCATGTGGTGTCTTATGAGACGAAGAATCCTTTACGCCTATGAAAAAGGGCTAATAAGGCTGCAGCAATAAAAGCTGTGAAGCACGGAAAAAAAAATCATCATAAGACCATAGAAAAGATTAGACAAAGGGGCTACGGCGGGGTTCTGCTGACGGTAATAACAGTGACTCATAGCAGGCAGCAGAGCGTATGGTTTGCCAAGCTGGTGCCAGCATGGCACACCTCCAGCTGCAGGAGACGCGGTCTGGAAGAGAGGAGAGAGCTCCTCACATGGTGCCGCAGCTTCCTCCCACCCTCTCCCGGCCAGTTCTGGGCCTAGTATTTTGGGCACGGAGCCTGGAAAGCCGGTCAAAATCAGAACACCCGAATGCGCTGCACGACACTGCTGTATATCCATCACCCAAGCCGGGTTTGGTGGTCAAGCAGCTTCTGCAGGATTTCTGTTTGTTGTCAGAATTCAGAGTTGCTTAATGCCTTTTGCCGCTCCTCAAAGTCCACACCGCATTTGGTCTTTTCACCCTTTGCAGCATCTGATCTATTCACCAGCTCTGTAAACTATCTCCATCTCTGTTTGAATGCCTGTGCATTGCCAAGAGCTCTACGGCAACCGGAGATGCTGTGCCCTTACCACGTGCTGAGGGATGCCAGTGAAAAAGAGCCAGGATGCTTACTTATTTATTTCTCTTTGCTTTCAGCGTAATTCTTGCCAACTCCCAACGCTTCTGCCTCGGTTTTTCACACAAGCGGTGCAGTGGGAAAGCTGCCTGGAGAGAAATCTTGTTGCTGGTGCGCCTAGCAGCGCTGCCATGGTAAGTCAGCAAGGTACTCGCTGTTCTCTTGCTAGGAGGCATGGGCAGGCCTGTGCAGCGAGTGCTGGGCAGAAAATACCATTTTATCTCTTTATTGCCTTCTGTTTTCCAGCTGTGGCTGAGCAGAGGGCAGAAAAAAAACCCCAAATCCCAGTGCTTTTGGAGGCCAGGCTTCGGCATTTTGCTGAGCTTTAAGTGCTTAGAGAGAGGCAGAGAGAGTCACACCACAGGTGAAGGAACAGCTCAGGGACGGGGAACCTCAAGAAGAGCGTGCGAGTGTTTCCTGGGCATCCTGGCTGAGATAAAGGGACATCCTTTCTGGACAAATGAGAGCTTCGAAGAACATATCCCAGAGTGACAGCACCCTGATACAGCAAGGAGAGCCAGGAGCTAGAAAACACAGCCCTCGTCCCCTCTCTAGCCCCTGAGCTACCAGCATATAGAGAGTGAAAAAGCACCAAACCCAAGCTGTGCTGGGGGAGCATGCGGTGCCCAGGAGAAAGTCAGCACATGATCAGGGCAAGGAGCAATAAAAGCTGTTATTTTTCAGGCTGTCTCTTCTGTCCATGCCACTCTTTCTCTGTCGCAACCGGCACTGGCTTTGGTGCACGGGTATTAAGCAGATTGTCATCTGGGGAGGTGCTGGAGATCAGCATCGTTCCTTTTTCACTGCTTGTCAATAGGATCATCGCTGCTTCCCATGGCGTAAGCTATCTTAAAAGATCTGCAGGGAGGACAAGCTAAGGGTTAGACTCTTGCACAGCTCCCAGGAGGAGAAGAAAGGGCAGGAGGCAACAGAAGCCCTGCAGCACCGAATATTTCAGACTGCGCAGTTACAAGCCTTGGGGGGATCGTTAGCTTTGGCCCTGCACTGTTTTTCATCTTGCCGGTAGCCCCAACACCCCCGGACCTGCACACTTCAGGCTCTTTTCATGTGTGTTGCAATTACAGAGGTTTCTCTGAAGACGCCCCCACACAGTTTTCCCCCAGTTAGGGTTTGAAGCGGCTGAGGACCCCAGCTCTGCTCCAGGTGGGCACAGTGGGATTGGGAACACCCTTGGGAGTTCGGTGCCACATTCATTTGCTCACTCACAGGCACCAAAAATGACAGCACGCTTGAAGAAACGATGATTTAAAGAGGAAGGCAGGCTTCCAGTCAGTTTGAGTTGAAACCTGCAGTCGGCGGAGCGAGCATCGGTGCTTGCAGGACTGCTGGAGCTGGCTGAGGCATGGATCTTTTCCCGTACCCAGGGGCTGTGGTAAGCTGACATCACGCAGGCAGGTGAGGCTATTCTACAAACAGAAACTTGGAGTTTTGTCAGTTTGGAAGTACTGTCTGCAGGCACCCCCCCGGCTATGTTGACAAAAGCAGATTTCTATCAACAAAGCTTTGGCGTACAGACGAGGTAACTCATAACCTCCTGGCTCTCAGCTTTGTGCACCTTCCCTGAAGCCACAGGGCATTTTGATGTGCACAAGCTTTCCTGTGTCCTGACTGAGGCTGGAGCTGTGTGTTTTCTAAACAAACACCATGCAGGAGTTTGTGAAGTACAGCAGAAATGTTCAAAAAATAATAAACCTACGGGCAGGCTTTGAGCAGAAGGTTTTTTCTCTGATCGTCATGAGACTACGTAGCTTTTTCTTGAGCTCCAAAGACCTTTTTTAAAGCATTTTTGTTGGCTCCGTGAATAGGAATGTGATGAAGCCACCAAGATGGGGCAGTAAATAATCTCACCCTCCCCATACCGCTCTT